AACTTTTAGATGAGATGATCACGCACTTCAACAACTGCTACTACAACTATGCAGATGCAATCTTAACACCTCTTATTATGACCACTCTGGTTAGTCTTTTCCTGTGGCTGATGGATGTGTAACTACTTGTATATCAGTCTTTTACTCCCTCCGTTTAAATTTGCTTATCTTAGTCTGTTTACAAGAATCTTTTCTTTTTTGGCAATTCTTTAATTTCAACTTTCCACATGACATGTTTAAGACCACAAAATTAAAAGGACATTTTAGTGCATTCCACGTATCTTTGATTTAGAGTTTTTCTTTACTTTTTTGAACTTTGTGCCAAGTCAAAACCAGACAACCAAATTTAAACGGAGGAAGTATATCAGCTTTTAACTTCAAGATGAAGCTGTCTATTGATTCCCTTCAAGTGTCAGGATTTAGACTTGTTGATGGTAGTTTTGTGAAGCACTGGCAAAGCCTTCAACATATGTTTACCGTGTTCCCAAAGACTCAGTGTTACATAAATGGAAAATTTTATGTTAAACATGCTCGAGGTGTTACGTAAGAACTATGATTCCCGTCACAAATACACTGAAAACCTATGGACTCAAGTGGTGGATTTCTAGTTTTTCTGTTGGCAATACAAAAAATCAGAAACTTGAGGACTAAAGCCACTTTAATACAACTTTTGTCAGTATAGTTTTACTCTTTTTTCTATCTTTGATATCAATTAATTACTAATTCATACTAACCTGTCATTTATCTTACATAATTTTGGATCATAGGTTGTGTATCCTTTTCTCAAAACCATATACTCAAGAGAGCTAATCTTTGTTTTTTTTTTAATGCAGGAAACACATAAAAGTGACTACTTAATGAACATGGCAACAGCAGAAATAAAAGAACTGCTTGCAAGCAAATATAAGCACTCACCATACGCAACGAGGGCCAGGTCACGGATGCGAGAACTCTTAGCCACTGTTAGTTTCTTGTCCCACTCTTCATATGTGATTACTCATTATGATCCTCTTTCTTTATTTTACTGTTTTTCTCTTAAAGGAGTTACTGAAATGTAGGGTGTGCTAAACGCCGCATTTAGATTCATATGTGCTGATACTTCTCATATGATCAGTACTATTCAGTTGACAGACTACAAAAGATGTCGTGTAGAATGCTTTCATCACGGATGCATATTTTGTCGTTATAACAACATTGACATACTTTTAGACAATGACCATTCTGTTAACGATGATTAACATCAATTGGAGGACCTCCTAATGCATCCTTTTGTTTGCAGCAAGGTGTTGAGATTGAGATAGTAAAAGGAAGTCAAGCTGGTTGGGGAAAGCAACTTTTGACATTGACGCGGAGATCATTTGTAAACATGTCAAGAGACAAGGGATATTATTGGTCTCGTATAGTAATTTATATTATTGTAGCTTTTGCCGTTGGTACCCTCTTCTATGATGTTGGCACCAGTTACACAGCAATCTTGGCTCGGGGAGCTTGTGGTGGATTTGTCACCGGCTACATGACTTTCATGTCCATTGGTGGCTTTCCATCCTTCATAGAAGAAATGAAGGTAAACATCCATTTCCTATATATGATCCTAATTTTCAGTCGAAGATAATTTTATCCGACTCCCAAGTACAATACAGGACGGCTACTTTTGAGTGTTTTTGTCGCGAGTTTTGAAACATTTTGAACTGATACTATATCTCATTTTACAGGTTTTTACCAAAGAAAGGCTTAACGGGCACTATGGTGTTGCAGCTTTCGTATTAGCAAACTTCCTCTCATCATTTCCATTCTTAGTTGCAGTTTCACTCCTCACTGGAACCATCACCTATTACATGGTGTTTCGGGCTAGATTCTTCCGTTATGTGTTTTTCTGCCTAAATCTTTTTGGTTGTATCGCTGTTGTTGAGAGTTGCATGATGATTGTAGCTTCACTTGTTCCAAACTTCTTAATGGGAATCATAACAGGAGCTGGTGTGCTTGTAAGTTACAACTGCTTAACACACTTCTTCTCATCTTATTTTATCTACAACAATTGTCAAGTAATTTTACTTGTCGCGTTGCCTTATACAGGGAATCATGATGATGACTGCTGGATTCTTCCGTTTACTGCCAGATCTTCCCAAGCCAATTTGGCGCTATCCAATTTCATTTATTGGATACGGGGCATGGGGTTTACAGGTAACGATAACATCTATCACATACATAATCTATGGACAAAATCAAGACTAAAAACAGATTCTTGTGTATTAAGAATAGTTTTGACGATGACATATATACTACTATCGCAGGGATCATACAAAAATGACATGATTGGACTTGTATTTGATCCACTAATTCCTGGCGGAGAGAAACTAACAGGGGAATATGTGATCACGAACATGTTCAAATTGTCGTTGGATCACTCCAAATGGTGGGATTTACTTGCATTATACTCCCTCATCGTGATGTACAGGCTTCTATTCTTTATAATTCTCAAGCTAAAAGAACGAGCTACACCATTTTTCCGATCAATGTATGCCAAGAGAACGATGCACAAACTCAAAAGGCGTCCGTCCTTCAAGAGGAAACCATCTTTATCCTATTCAAAAAGACAGCATGCTCTCAGGTCATTGTCTTCTCAAGAGGGTCTTAGTTCTCCAATCCCATAGAAACTATAAGAAAAAATCAAAGATATTGTCATCTCATTACTGTTAATAATATCTCATAAGTTCAAGAAAATTAAACTTAAATTGTCCTTGAGGTTTCATTTGTTGAACCATGACAATAAATTTGCTTCCATTAAAGAGCCAGACAAATTGTTGTATCAATCATCACATATATATACAATAGAAGTGTCCCTTCTTTTGCTGTTTACCTAAATTGAAATTACTAATGTCTAACTAGCATGCTTTGTTGTTGATGAGTGTCATTGCCTTAAGCATAAAAAATATCAACGGGTTGACCCAATGTGTGTCAGATACTTCAAAAGTAGTAAATTTTCAGAGTATATGGCACGGGTGTGGCAACAGTTTTGAGAGTACGAGCAACGTAGCTCTTCATCACTAAGTCTTTGAGAGACATTAAATCATTTTCTTGGTATTTCAGTAGTGTTGTTTCTTTTCTAACCTTCTGTCCTGCCTTGGCTTATGGTGCTGGAAAATGTGACTATATTTTTGGAAATTTTGGTACATATAGATGTGTCTTCAATCTTCTGAAATTATGTTTCAGTAAATCAATTTTTTGGTACCACTTAGATACACATATTTATCTTTGTTGGTTAAGGAATACAATGTTTAAATAGCCAACATTTGCAGCACATACTAACAGATAATATACTAAGCCTTCTATGTTAGTTACTACTGAGGTGTGCAGAGGCAAACCCAGGATTTGAAGACTTTGGGTGCAATAATATATAACCTTAGCTCAAATATGAGCTCTAAGTTAAACTTAAAATAAAAATAATAAAAAAAGGCCTTTAGTTGGGTTTGAACCCTAGTTCTCAAGGGTGATATTTCTAGCTTGTACCAATAGCACAAGGGCACTTCTATGCATCTCATGGATGCACTGTTAAATACTCCCTCCGTCCCTATTTACTTGTCCATATTTCCTTTTTTAGTTGTCCCTATTTAGTTGTCCATTTTGACAAATCAAGAAAGGACAACAAATTTTTTCCTATTATACCCTTATTTACACTTCTTGAAAATTGTAAAAGTGTATGTTGTTTCCCTCCAATTTATTTCACTTTAATTCAAATAAGTGGTTATAATTTTGAAGTGAAAAGTTGTCATAAGGGTAAAATTGTAACTTAACTGTGCTAATCATTGTTGCCTTAATCTGTGTGCCATTTCTAAAGTGGACAACTAAAAAGGGACGGAGGGAGTATATCCTAATTTCTACCAGTTTTTCAAAATAGATATATATATATACATATGATTTTTTCGGAAGTTAGCTCGCGAGTGCACGTGCACCCCTTCTCCATAGTGTGGGTCCGCCTCTGGAGGTGTGGTAGGATGGTTGAAAATTTTCCATTATTAACAAATGTCTCAGGTTCAAGCACTATGAATGCAAAACTCTTGTAAGAAGTCGAGTGTGTTTGGTACGAAGGAAAATGTTTTTCATGTAAAAGTTTTTTGAAAATCTTGGAAAACAAATTGGTTTGTAACTTATTTCTCATGTTTGGTTGGTGAATGAAATTTTTTTTCTACCGTTTGATTGGTGAATGAAAAATATTTTTCAGAAAACATCTTTCATTATTGGCTAGAGTAGGAAATACTTTTCAGAAAGATAGTTTTTGACCCGAAAATCAACATGGATGATCAATCCGAGATCCGACCACGACACTTGAATCGGGACATAACTCCGACGATCAATCTGAGATCCGTCCCGACACTCAGCTCATGACCTAACTCCGACACCTGACTCGACATCGGACATTCGAACTGGGATCCGACCCCAAAACACGACCTCGATGACAGTCCGAGATTCGACCCCGCGATCCAAGCAAGGACCTGACCCTGACTCTCGATCTGGGACCTAACATTAGAACTGGACCCGACTTGACCTCGACACCAACATCTGACCGATTCGGAATCCGACCTTGAGACCCTACTTAGGACCTAACACCAACTCTCGATAAAGGATCCGATAGTCAAACTAGACCGATTCGGAATCCGACCTCCCATATCGTTTTCTTATCACCAAAATCGAGAAAACTAAAAGTTGGTTTCTTTAATTATTATTATTTTTTACCAAAAATATATTATTTTTAAATTCTATGGCCAGTGCAACACTGTCCTATCAAATTAGCACATGGAATCTGTTGTATATATATTTGACTAACTTTAAGGCTTGTACTCATACATTTTTTTGGCCAAGATAGCTTTGTAAGTCCTTGTATCAACTTTTTCCTCTTTTATATATACAAAAATAGTTTAACATGTTCTTGGCTTCTAACTACTTTTGAAAATCGAACCATTGTCACTTGACTGTAAGAAGAGGAACTCAATTACCGTATCATATATGGAGATAGAGGTAGCAAGACTAGGTGGTGATGTTGAAAAGGGAATAGAGAGTAGTGGAGCCTATTTGATTTGGGAAGATGTAACAGTTGTGTTACCAAAATTTGGAGGAGGAAAAGGGCCAACTAAAAGATTACTTAATGGATTAAGTGGTTATGCTGAACCTGGTAGAATTATGGCTATTATGGGTCCTTCTGGCTCTGGAAAATCTACACTTCTTGATACGTTAGCAGGTACCTCTCTTTTTCTATCTCTAAATTTTATATTTGTCGTTCTGATTCTTTAAAAATGTTGATATCTGTGTAGTGTAGTGGTGAATGTAGAACTTTTACTAGGTGAGGTTTGAAAAATAAAAATTTAATACGTGGAGTTTGAACTTGAAACCAATCTGGTGAATTTTTGAAACTCATAAATCAGTAAGTCACCCTCTAGGCTTGTATTTAAAGAATTTAATATATATATATATACGTAACAAATTTTTTTTTATCTTACATATACATGACAACGTTTTGCCGAAGGGGTTTGAGTGACACCCTAACAATTCCCTAGATGTGTGTTGGATTCTCTAAAAATCAGGAGTGAGGCCACCTTGTGATCAGGGATTCATTCAATTCTTCTTCGATGGAAAATTATAGTACTATTTATATATTGTTAAAATATTATATATATATATTGTAGATGTGGAACCTCTTTTGATTAATTCATGTGTTTACTTTTTCAGATTTAAATTCTCTTAGTGAAAATTCTAGCTCTGCCACTGCTAAAATAATGTTTTTTTTTTATAATTAATAAATGCAACACGTTTTTAGAGAATCTAATAGCAACATAGGAGCAATATAATCATTTTTTCAGCTCTCAATTATGCGTCTCCTTTACTATCCAAACATTTGCTAAAAACCGCCAACTTTAGAGTCCAATAGCTTTGTTACGTTTCCTCCAAAATTAAAAGAGTTTCACATATTAACTCGATTTTATTAACCGTTTGTAATTCGAAGCTACCTCTTTACATTAAAAAAAAGGCAGTTTTTGGTATATAAAATTGATATAGCTATCCTTCTTCGAACACAATAAAGGGATCATGGATGAATGCTTATCCATAATAAATATGTGTAATTATGGGCATATTTTATTATTTTCATATTCATATACATTGTCGACCACATTTCATTGACTTATTTTGCTTACCCATGTCATACGAAAAGTTGAATATAAAAATTATTAACAAAAAAAGAGGCCTTTTTTAGACGGATTAAAAATAAAAATAATCAAATAAATTAAAACGAATAGAGTAGATGACTTTGACCGTTCATAATAGTAATAAAGCAGATTCATTCTTATATCAACTTTTTTTTGGTTGTTGTACAACATTTAAGGAAAACTTTTTTTTTTTTTAAATTTGGACTAAAGTAGTCAAATTCATTCACTATAACTATTAAATGGGTGTAAGAAACTAAATACAAGTAAAATGGCAGATGGGGTTTATATATTGTAGGATTCAAGTGATAAATATTAATATATTAAAAATTATATATATTGATAATAATGTATTTTTAATCAGATATTGCATGTTATTACTTTAATTTCCAGATTATCATATAGCTTTTCATACGAGGAACTAGTTGTATTTTTTTGGTCAAACTTATGTAATCTGACCGCGTAAATAATTTTATAATATTCTATTTGTTTTAAAATACTTGTCATATTTTACATTTTTCAAAAATCAAACTTAATTAACTTGATTAATATTTTAAAATATATTTTTATCATATTAATATGAAAAAATTAACCTACAATATTTTTGTATGATTTTTTCATCTAAAACATTGAATTAATCTAATTCAATTTAGCTCTAAATATTAATCGTCAAATTAACTCTCAAAGGTGACAATTATTTTTGGGGCAAAAGAAGTATTGTCAATACATATTGTTTCTAGTAGCGATGTATAAAATCGAACCGACCAATAAATCAAACCAAATGTTATTGGTTTATTGATATAGAGTTAACAGTGTTTTAATGGTTTTATAAAAAATTAAAATATATCAGGTTATCGATTTTGATTTTTTATATCAGGTTATTGGGTAAACTGAAAAATCATTAAGACTGTAGTAATTCACTATTTTACCCCTATATAAATATTAAATATTAATTGTAGTACTTTATTTGTTACTGCTTTTGCCAAAACTTTCAATTCACACTTCACAATCACTTTGAATTCACAGCTTCACATTATACAAAACGTTAAAATCTCAAGTAATTAAAAATTCTATTCCTCTTAATTTCTCTTTCTGTTGCACTTCTATAATTCTTTTCATGTTAGTTATTATTGTTTTTATGTTATGAGCATTATGTAAAGTTGCATTATATTTCATTTTATTTTATAAGTATTTTCTTATTGGTTAAACCGAAAACTGAACCATTAAGAATCAAAATCAATAAACCATATCTTATTGAGTTAACATATTTAAAAATAAAAAATTAATACACTGAATTAATAATACATAAAACTAAACTGAATCGATCGATAAACGAACCCTAATAAATTAGTAACGATTGCAAGGACAGAACATGGCATAGGGTCCTCCTGTCATTGGAAATTAATGAATTGAATTATCACAAATGTTTTGTATATACTATATAGATCATTTATTCTGTTCATTATACACTTGGAAACTTTTAAATGGGATATTAATAAAGTGACTAGCTGGTACTACATTAATATGTGAAATTTATTGTTATCCCTGACTGGTAGTATGAAGGTAGATAGAAAATTATAAATAAGGCATTATTGATGCAGTTGCTCACCTAATTAATACTCCGCTCGTTCCAATTTATTTATAAAAAAAAAAAAGAAGTATTTTTAATAATTTTTTAATTTTGATCTTTCACTTGATATTTTTATGATAATAGAATTAAATAATATTTTAATACGTTTGACTTAATCTTTATTAAAAATTATAAAATCCAAAAAAAATCTTTACTTTTTAAATTTGAGATTGGGGATGGAGTACTATACTGTAAATTATCATGTAGCTATAGATCACTATCCTATGCGTATTTATTATCCTCTAAGTATAATATTAAATTAATACTATAGTATTTATTTCCATTTGCCTACTTCCCGACAGGCTACAGCTATAAAACATAGAGTAAGTCACACACTTTAAAAAAAATAAATCAGGGTCATATATAATATTCATTGTTCTCAATTTATAATACATTTTTGAGTCGGTTCAAAAAAATAACAGATTTTTATATTTAATATTTTCTTCGTTTCATATTACTTAACCTCCGTATAATAAATTATTTCAATTTATGAAATCAAAAGAATTTTATCATTTTTTCCTTTCTTCCTTTAAAATAGCTACATAAAGTAGTAATATTCATTAATAAGATTAGCTTAGTAAAATAAACTTTCATTTTTTGAAAAACAATTAAGGATGTGTCAGGTCAACAAAAACTAAGTGATACTCTATAAAACAAAGGGTGTAACAATTTAATTTTAAGCTTTCACTTGATCCTTAATTATTGAGATATTTAAGATCCTTATTTTTTTGATCTATATAAGATCATAAATTCCAAATATGTTATCGTACACTAATATCGAATTCTCCGAACAAAAATTATACAACTTTTAAAGAATCCAACAACAATGTTTTCAAAAAAAAATCGAGCAACATAGTATAGATGATAATGTTAAGAAGTCTCAAATTGATAGAGGGATGAGAAATTGATCCCCTTATATGGACTTGGATAAACCTTCTCTCAAGAACTAGCTTTTGAGATTGAGTTAGATCCAAGTATCATATCTTTACATTATATCAGAGTCAGGCTTATCACAATTGTTGTTCACCGATTTATAAGTGTTTCACGCTCAAGTTGAGATTTGGACGTACGAGGGACTGTTAAGAAGTCCCACATCGGTAGAAAGATGAAAAATTGGTCTCTTTATATGAACTTGGACAAACCTCCCTCATGAGCTAGTTTTTGAAGTTGAGTCAGGCTCAAATGTCGTACCTTTATAGATAATACTGGAATTAAGGTATTATAGACCTCTCTTCAATCGTCACCCTTGATTTGGCCCCTTATAAATCTTTCGATATAACTTGGTGATCAATAAAAATATGAAGATGAATTAAATGATAATTGTAATTTGTTTGACTTAACAGGAAGACTCTCAGCAAATCTTGTTATGACTGGCAATATTCTTCTCAATGGGAAGAAGAGAAGGCTTGACCATGGTTTTGTTGTAAGTTCTATATATCCAAATTAACTTTATATTATATTTAGGAACAATTATCGTGATTTTTTTTTAAAAAAAGTTTTTAAAATTATATGTATCATTTTAAATGACAATTATTTAATTTAATTACTCTTAATAGTTATTATTATTTTTAACACTATAAACATCTCAATTATGAAATGATGTTATGATTAATTATAGTAATAATACACTAATATCGTAAATAACTATTACCTCCTTCTAAAATTATTTTTCCTTATTTTAAAAATAGGTGCCTCAAATTATTCGTCATTTTAAAAGTTTAAGATAAAATTAATTAGGTTTTCCACTCTTTATCCTCGGTCGTAATTGTTCTTCAATACTACAAACATCTCAAACAAATAGAATGTATATTCATTGAAGAAAAATTATATCTTAAAACATAAAATAATAAAATAGTCAAAATCCCCCCTAATTAATATCTTCTTCCATGTACGTGTGCAAAAGATAAATATGACAAATAATTTGAGACAGAGAGAGTAATTACACTATTAATGTAGTATAATGATACTTTTCCATCCTTATATATGTATATAATGTGTATATTATATGTATATTTTTTTACACGATATGTATATATAAGTTGATACTATGACTAATAAATATTTGCAATTACATGTTATTATACCAGGCTTATGTGACACAAGAAGATATACTAATGGGAACTCTAACAGTAAGAGAAACTATCCAATACTCAGCTCAATTAAGGCTTCCAAGCAACATGAGTAAAGATGAAGTAAATGAGATTGTAAACAATGTTATAATAGAGATGGGATTAGAAGATTGTGCACAAAATTTGATTGGAAATTGGCATTTAAGAGGAATAAGTGGTGGTGAAAAAAAGAGATTAAGTATTGCACTTGAAATAATAACACAACCACAACTATTATTTCTTGATGAACCTACAAGTGGACTTGATAGTGCTTCTGCCTATTTTGTTGTTCAAGTACTTAAGAATATTGCATGTGGTGGAAGGACTATAATATGCTCTATTCATCAACCAAGTAGTGAAGTTTTTGCACTATTTGATGACCTTTTCTTGCTATCTTCTGGTGAAACTATTTATTTTGGAGAAGCTAAATTGGCAGTAGAGGTAAGAAAAGTTTATAAGTTGGTCAAACTGGTTTATACGTATTTTAGCTTATTTACGTGTTTGGTAAATATCTAAGGTGCTTATAAGTCAAAAGTCATAAGTTGGTCTCATCATTCCTAACTTGTGACTTTTCCTGCTTATAAACACATTTGATTTGATCAAGTTTTTTGATTATTTTCTTATTACTCTCTCTGTTCCATTTTACGTGGCACTTTTCGGATTTCGAAATTCAAACAGTTCTATCTTTGACCGTAAATTTTTAATCGATTTTTTAAACATTTTGAATTATCAATTATTGTGACTTATAGTACTTTTTACGTAGTTTACAAATATATAAATTTCATTTCAAAAAAAATTGAAGATTTCATGCGCAGACTTAAACTGTTTGACTCTCGAAAAACGAAAAATATCACATAAATTGGGATAGAGGGAGTAATAATTTTTAATATTCTCAAATACCCTTTCGAAATTCATATTCAACGTTCCTCTTTTTCATTTTAAAGATACTTTTAAATTCATATTTTTGGTAAAAAAAAAAAAAAAATTAAAGATATTTTAGTCATTTTAACAAAAGAATAATATTAAAGACTTATTTTTTATTTTAGGACTTTTACTAAACACGTAATTATTTATTTATAAAACAAAATTTAATTTTTTTTTAATTATATGTGTTTGCAGTTTTTTGGTGATTCAGGGTTTGCATGTCCAACTAGAAGAAATCCTGCTGACCATTTTCTTCGTTGCATTAATTCAGACTTTGATGATGTTACTGCCACTTTAATAGGATCAAGGAGAATAAATGTACGTATGCTATAATAAGTTGTAGTATATAGTTTGATTCTCGAGAAGCGGAATGTGACTGGTAAAAAAGTAAATTGGAGGAAGTAGATAATATTGTTGAATTATGTTATTTGTAAATGCAGGATATGAAAGAGTCATCAAGTTCACTAATTTATTTGCCAACATCAGAGTGTAGAGTAAGGCTTATTCAAAATTACAAATATTCAAGCCATAAATTGAGGACAAAAGCTAGAGTTCGACAACTTGCAAATATTGTAAGTTTTTCTTCCCCTTCTTTTTATTATAATTCATAACAAATGGAAAAATTATGTGTATAAACAAATATATACTAGTTAATTAGTTAACATAGCTATAGTTTGCCTTAATTACAATTCGCGACCTACTTTTAGCTATAATTATGCGGCTCAACTTTTTAGTTTTGTATAATTCACACGTTTGTATAATTCGAAATTTGTATAATATAATTTGTACAACTTTTGTATAATTCAGAATTTGTATAATATAATTTGTATAACTGTTTACACTTCTGATGTTTGTAATTGTATAAATTCGTTATTTCGAGTTTATACAAAAATAACTGAATTATAAAAATGTACCCGCAAATTATACAAATAAGTGAATTATACAAATCTGCGAATTATACAAACGAGGGTAAATATGCAAACTATGGCTATGAAGCATAATTAAGTTTATTATAGTGGCTATTTGCGAAAGTTCTCAAATAATATATTAGTGTCCAAATTTTTGAAATAATACAAATGAATATGTTTTGTATATTAACAAGAAATACACCTATTATGTATATAATCAATGTATATGTTTTGTATATTTTGATTAGCACATGTAATTATATTTAGCTGACAGGTCAAAAACGAAAAATATTTATTATCTATCCAAATTATAATTTTGTATACCTCTAAAAATTTATAGTATTGATTCTTGGTCGTACTATCAAAATTATTAGCTATGAAACTATATTGACTTAGAAAAATTTGTCTTTAAGTTGCAAGACCAAATATATATATAGCAAATCTTAACTAGTGATTAATTTTTTGTTTCAGAAAGATATTGTATTTAAAGAAAGTGGAGGGAGTCAAGCAAGTTGGTTAAAGCAATTGTGTACATTGATTAAGAGATCATTGAAGAATATGAGTAGAGATTTTGGTTATTATTGGTTGAGGATTATAGTGTATATTATATTATCTATTTGTGTTGGTACTGTTTTCTATGATGTTGGAACCGGTCATAATGCTGTAATTGCAAGGGGTGCTTGTGGTGGATTCATTTCTGGCTTCATGACTTTTATGTCCATTGGAGGCTTCCCATCTTTCATTGAAGAAATGAAGGTAAATCATATATTTTATTTTGTCATAATGCATATAAATGTACTATTTAACTTGGCTTCAGTTAACATCTGTGCCCTTTAGTTTTGGATGTGCACAAGTCAGGGACAGAGCTTGAAAACTGGATACGGGTCCTGCCAAACTCAGTAACTTTAGCTCACATAGTGTATTTGTATTAAGGACGTTTATTAAATATGTGTACAAATATTAAGGTTAGGATTTAGACCCTAGTTATTAACACTTTCATTGAAGAAATGAAGGTCAATCATATATTTTATTTTATTTTGGCATAATATATAAACGTACGTTTTAACTTGGCTTCAGCTGATATTTGTGCCCTCTAATTTTGGGTGTGCACAAGTCAGGGGTAGAGCTTGAAGTCTGGATACGGGTTCTGCCGAACCTAGTAACTTTAGCTCAAATAGTGCATTTGTATTAAGGACATTTATTAAATGTGTACAAATATTAAGGTTAGGATTTAAACCCTAGTTATTAACACTTGAAATTGTGGCTATAAAATTCAAAACCCATAGGTTATAATTTTTGGCTCCGCCTTTGGCACAAGTTGACATTTAAACTTGTATAAAATTGAGCAAGTAGACACACGTCTTCTACATGTCATGATAATATATATGTATTCTATATGGTATAACACAAGTCAGTTCAAGTGTATCTCACGTGAATTGTTATTATTTGCAGATATTTGAGAAAGAAAGGAAGAGTGGACACTATGGTGTTGGTGTATTCATTCTTTCAAATTTCATTTCATCATTCCCATTCCTAGTTTTTATGTCTATGAGCTCAGCAGCCATTACATATAGCCTAGTGAAGTTTCACCCTGGCTTCTTCCATTTTTTATATGCTGCCATTGTTCTCTTAAGCTCAATAGCTGTTGTTGAAAGTTGCATGATGGTTGTGGCTTGCTTTGTTCCTAATTTCACCATGGGTCTTGTTGTTGGTGCTGGAATTCTTGTAAGTATCAACTATCCCATCTTACTTTCATGAATAATGTATTAGTCTATATTGATTTTCAACGACTTGTCAGTAAATTTTATTTAGACATTCTGACTACAACATATTTCAATTAAGCACTTGACATGCATATGATAAAGTAAGTGTTCCTATAAGATACTTTCGATTTTGTTTGAGTTCTCAACCATCCTATTATTTTACTTTGATGAATATTGAATGAACTCTTTGTCCCAATCCTTACTTGATATTCATGTACATGTATCATGAATAATGTATTAGTCTATATTGATTTTCAGTGACTTGTTAGTAAATTTCATTTAGATATTCTGACTACAACATATTTCAATTGAGCAATTGGCATATGATAAAGTATGTTCCTATAAGATACTTTTGATTTGCTTGAGTTTTCAACCATCCCATTATTTTACTTGATGAATAATGAATGAATTATTTGTTCCAATCCTTACTTTGATACTCATGTAGATGTGTGTGTAATTCCCTTCATAGGATATAAACAATACTCCGTCCCAATTTATCTGACCCTCTTTTCTTTTTTAGTCAGCCCTAAAATGAATCAACACTTTTTATATTCAATTAACTTTAATCTCTCATTTTAACCTTAATAAGATGATTTATCGTAACATGAATTTGTGTATGCAGGGAATTATGATGGCAACAGCTGGTTTTTTCAGGCTAATGCCTGATCTTCCAAAAGTCTTTTGGAGATACCCTATTTCATATCTTAATTACATGGCATGGGGCTTGCAGGTAAAATTTCTCAGTCCCAAAAGTTATACAATTAACTTCTTTAAGATTATACATTTAGTTTATTATATAATATATATCCAACATGCAATATCTCCTCCAATAAAGAAACTATCTTTGAAAAATATAAACTTACAAGAAATATCTCAGATTTTGAGATACTGAATTTTGATTAATTGAATCTGTCATCAGGAACCATAGAACCCTATTCAATAAGTGGAACACATACAATGTTATGTTGTTGTAGTTAAACACCTATCCTCTTGTATGACAACACCATTGTGACTAAATCACCCAATTCTAACACTTGTCAAAGCCTTTTAGTATCAAATAATTAGGATTAGGGATGTCAATAAGATAGGCGATTCTTGACCTGCTAAGATTTTAATTCATTTTGTCTCACCCCGTTTAGCACTTTTAGAAAATTTTGCCCTGCACTACCCCGTCTTATGTCATTTATATATTTATTTTATTTTAGTGAATTTCTCTAGTTGATTCTTTGATTGTGTGCGTCAGCATGTTGCACTACAAAAAAAAAGAAACATTTAGTGATAATAATTTTTTTTTTCTTTTAATGATTATATTTGTTGTCTCAAAAACATTTAGCGGTAATTAAGTTAATGTCATCACATCCAAAATAGCTAAAAGCCTTTAGCGGTATTTATATAAAATATTGATTATAAACACTCATATTTATTACTGCCACTAAATATAATATAGTGACAATTATAGTGTGGTGAGCAGGTAAATGTGATATAACTCTATCACTTCAGTGCACATACAATTAAGGCATAATACATAAACATGACCCTTAACTTGATTTCAGCGGCCAACTATGCCCTCCAACTTTACGTGTGCATAAGTAGGTACTTAAACTTGTATAAAATTGAACAAGTAGACACATGTGTCCTACATGACATAATACACTCAACACGTTAGGTAGGACACAAAATTGTCATGTAGGATGTCATGTAAGACGAATGTGTCCATTTGTTCAATTTTATACAAGTTTAAGTGCTTACTTGTACACACCCAAAGCTAAAGGTCATAGTTACTAGTTGATGCCAAGTTAAGGGTCATGTTTATGTATTAAAATTCTCTATATAAATATTAGTATATTACCTTGACAATTTTACACTTTTTTTTTTTTTTGCAAAATGACAGGGTGCATACAAGAATGATTTAATAGGACTAGAATTTGACCCTGTAATGCCAGGTGAACAAATGAAGAAGATGAAAGGTGAAGAAATCATCAGCTCAGTTCTTGGATTTTCAGTAAAACACTCCAAATGGTGTGATTTGGGTGTTGTAATAGCAATTCTCATATCATATAGATTGCTCTTCTACATTGTTCTTAAGCTAAAGGAAAAAGCTTTACCAATTTTACACACATTATACACACAAACAACTCTTCAACATCTTAGTAAAAGACCTTCTTTTAGGATAACACCACCTTTTCCATCAAAAAGATATCATCATATCCACTCATTGTCTTCTCAACAAGACCTTGATTCCCCACTCCATTGACAAACTTCATTAGAGTTGAGTAGAGGTACCGTTTTGTATCGGTGAAAGTCTACAAGACAGTTGTCTGAAGTGTAGGGGTAAACTCGGATTTGGATAATATTCTCAAGATAGACTATAGTGGTCAATGTAAAACAACATATTATTTTCCGGGTGATTCATCTATGGATTAAAAAGTTGCAATATATGTATAACATATGCTTAATTTATATATTTGGCACTATTTTCAAACTAGAAATTGTTTGTTCCTTAATGCTAGATATTGAACTTTTAAGACGTTATAAGTTTTATGTGCTGCCGATGTAAACAAATATATTACAAAATAATCAGCTAGACAACTTGAGTAAATAATACACTTTCATGAGGTCCGCAAATTTTACCTCTATCTTTTAATCTCGAGTTTTCACTAACTTAATGAACTTGTGTTTTGATACCATAATTTTAGTTTTTGAAAAATAAAATATGAAATCTGAACGTTTTTCTCAAAGAGGCTTTATATGCCATTCTGAAGTAGTAAAACAATTTTTCTTCTTCCTAACCTTGACAGCAACATCTGATAAACACCATCACATTTAGGTTACAACTTAAATTGCAATAGTATCCTCTCCTATCGCACTAACGAATTCATAATTTAGAGTCCGTGAATCCTAACTTTAACACACGTATAATTATATACGTAATACGAGCTAGAAATAGTGCATTAAAACTCAGAGATCATGAAGGAACATCATCCTAGAGCAAATGAGATGTTTATATTAAGACATTAGATATGGATATATATAAGTTAAATTGGCAACATTAGTAGATGGAAACATGTTAGCATCAGAAATAGCTTGTTTTAGATACCCATTATCAAAGATAATATCAACAAGGGTTAGTGTCTGAACCAACTTTCGTGCACTTCGACTAGTTTTACGAGATACCTATCACCTCCCACCAACAACAGGTATCAGGTAATTAACGCTGTCAACAAGGGTCACAAGAGAAGAAAACCTAGAATTGCATTCATCTCTACCTCTCCTTTACAAGAAATTGTAAAACACAAGATCAACTGGAACATCCGCCTGCATAAGCATCTCTAACATCACATCTAGAGTTTGTCTTAGAGAAAGCATGGACCTCATGACACCGCCTAAGCGACTCGGCGACAACAGGGAGCTCAAAAGGCTATGTAATATGAATGCAAAACCAGGACATGAAAAAATGTAATAAAACTTGAGGGATAAATTATAATTTGAAGTGTAAAATCATCATTTTCACCATAGATCAACAATAAACAATGAAAACCTTTTGTGCAGTTGATGAAGCTTTTTGCTAGTCAGCCTACTAAAGTGGCAGATAAGGTGAAATCAAAATAATTCAAATATGAAGGATGATTAACTAGTTAGTTACTTAATACCAGGGTGACAAAATGGGTAAAATTTATGCTTATTCATTCGACTCTACTCATTTTAAATAGATTGGTTATCTAAATATTTTTTTTAAGTGGATCAATCCATCATAAAATATGCACAATTGATGGGTATCCGCTAATTGCACCCCCCTTAAATTAGATGTTCACTATAAAAAATAGATGTCTATTTTATTTTTTTTGTCCGATTTGAAAAGGTAAGAAATAGCTATCACTTAATTCCTAATTTATCCTTACTATTAATTATATTATTTTGTCAATGTATTTTCCAAAACACTAGTATATACCCTTTATACTTAAATGATATGCGTACACCCTTCGTTATACTTTTGGGATATCGGTGTACTTAGCGTCCAAATTTTAAAGTGATATATACCATTTATACTAATGAACATACACGTGTCTGAATCATATCTGTTGATCCGATATTTATTAATTTCTAGAATAAAGGCTCCACCAAAATTAATTAAAAACCCCACCCAAATAGATAACCATACCCAAAAATATAATCCAGAACCCCCAAATCGATTCACTTAGTTGTGACTTAGACCCCCATAACCCTAGTTTCTTCTCCGATTTTTCCTGTCAATCGGATCCAACCTCCGATCATGGGACATCGACGCCAACACCACCAAGTCCTGTTAAAGCCATGGTGGAATTTGCACTGTTTTGATACATCATATATGATTGTTGCTGAGGGGGTGTAAGGGTTGAATTGCCCCGTAAGCATACGACCCAGACTTTAACCTAGAAATCATCAGGCATCATTTCACCGAACGTAGCCTGTCATTGAGTGAAACTACCGTTACCCATTTTGGGGGTTTAAGTCGCCACTAAGTGAATTGATTTGGGGGTTTTGAGTTATATTTTTGGGTGTGGATATTATATTTTTAATTAATCTAGGTGGGCTTTTTTTTTTTAGGTAGAAACTTAATAAATATCAAGACGGTGAATATGATTAAGACACATGTATGTTCGTTAGTATAAAGGGTACATACACTCCAAAATTTGGACGATAAGGACACTGATGTTCTAAAAGTATAACAAAGGGTATACGCATATCACTTACAATAGTTCAGGATATATTTGTCATTTTTTCGTTTACTATATTCAAAGGGTAATATAGTAAAACAAACAGTTTATTTAGGCGTCTTAAATAATGTGTCAAGTCAATATTGGACAAGTATAAATGGATAGAGGGAGTAGGAAATTTTTTCCCAGTTTAGTTAGTAATCTAAAGCTATAAATGTAAGCTTCAAGTCATCAATAAAATAGTTTTCTTCTATGTTACTTCCTAATATGTACTTCTTACCATATTTCTCCTTTCAATCTTTTTCTTTCTTATTCTTTTCTATTGTTTGTTCTTCTTAATTAGCATCAAACTCATTTTCTTGAGGAACCTGTAAGTAAAGAGACGAATTCAAAAAAAGTTTTTCATGAATGACTATTTTTAATGCTGTGAGAATGAACACTTACTTAGAGGTCCTCGATTTTTGAAAAGTCATCGAAAATGATTATGAAGTTAGTCCACTGCCAAACAATCTATCACGACCCAAATCAAGAGTCACAAAATAAAAATCAGAAGTTCAAGGAAAAAATGACTTTGTTTGTTGTTGTTTCAACAACTATTTCACGAGTATTATCTCTAATATCAGCAAAAGAAATTTGGGATTATTTGAAGAAAGGTATATTGGAGATGAAAGAATACAATGAATGCAAGTATTGAATTTAATAATAGAATTTGAATAGCAGAGAATGAGAGAGTACAAGACAATCAAAGAATACTCGAACAAATTGCTTGACATTGTTAACATGGTAAGATTGCTAGGCATTAAATCTAAAGATTCAAAAATTGTTGAAATTGTTTTTTAATAGTAACCACAAAATATGAAGCACATATAACTACCTTGGAAAACACATAAGATATGTCCAAAATTACATTGGTAGAGTTGTTAAACTCTTTCCAAGCATAAGAGCAAAGAAGACAAAATGGTATGGTTAAAAGAGCCTTAACAACCAGCCACAAAACTCAAAACAAGGATAAAATTCTGAAAAATTACCCACACTATCAACATTGTGGAAGAATGGGTCATCCACAGAGCAAGAAGAAATACCAAAAAGTTTTAGTAGTAAGAGTTTCAACCAAGTAGGAAAGCGAATTTAGTTCACTACAAATCCAAAGATGAATTTGCAGATTTATTCTCAAGGTCACTTTCAGTTATCAAGTGTGAAAATTCAAAGACAGATGACTAAAGTTTTGTAGTTCCTAAAGCAAATATGAGTGTTAAAAATTGATTTTAAGACTACACTTAAAATTTATCTTTTAATTAAGTATTTCAATTTGGATAAATATTCCCTAATGTTTAAACAGACTCAACGCTTTCACAATGTGAAGTAAGATTGCGTACAGACCATCCTGCAACAAAGTTTTCTCATTTTAGTTAGTAATTTGAAATTATAAATGTAAGCTTCAAGTCTTCCTGAAAGATATGAGGCATATATAATTATCTTGGAAAACACACAAGATCTATCCAAGATTACCTTAGCAAAGTTGTTAAATTCTTTCCAAGCACAACATCAACAAATGAGGCAAAATGACAGGGTTAAAGGAGCCTTAGAAGCCACCCACAACACTCACAGCAAGGGTAAAATTTAGAAAAATTACCCACCTTGTCAGTATTGTGGCAAAATGAGTCATCCACCATTGAAATGTTGGAAGAGGCTAGACACAAATTGTAGTAAGTGCAATCAGCTTGGTCATGAAACAATAATTTGCTAAAAACAAATCTCAAAACCATGAAGTAAAAGCACATGTTGTCGATAAAGAAGAAGAAGACCATTTTTTTGTCGCAACATGTATCTCATGTAAGCTTTCAACAAATTCTTGTTTGATTGACGGTAATTGCACTTATTGCACGACTTGTGACAAGAGTTTGTTCAATGAGTTAAAGCCTTCTGAAATATCCAAAGTTTAAGATCGAAAATGGTGACCACAGGAAAAGTAATTGTCATTATCAAAACAAGTTTAGCTAATTAAACAATTTCAAATGTTCTTTTTAGGTACCTAATATTGATCAATACTTGTTGAGTATCCATTAATTGGTAAAAATAAGATTCGAAGGATATCCCTTTAATGATAAGCATTGCTTCATCAATGGTGTTGTTGGAAAAGAAGTTTAAAAATTACGATGAGAGTAAAAAACAATTTATTTGATCGATGAAAGATATTCTTGTAGAAGAGGCAAAAGATCAGAAGGCTTAAAACTACAAGATGATCTCCAATTTGGAAAGTTAAGGGTAGTACCTACTGAACACTTAGTGAAGACAAATTGTGTCTATTAGCCACACAATGTTGACATGGCACAATGTATGTGTACACCACTTTCTGATGAGCGAGAAGATTATTTTATTTTTCAATGTTCAATCTCTTTCCTCTCCGCCCCACAAAAGTAGGAGTAAGATTTACGAACAACCTACCTTTCTTGAATCCCACTTGTGGATTACACTAGGCAGAGGTGGATCTAGAGGGTAGCAAGGAGATTCATCCGAACTCCCTTGGCAAACTTTACACGATATATAAGGTATTTAAGAT